CTAATACTGTCCACCCCTTTGTAATTTATTTAATTATATTTTTAAATCAGTAAAATATTGTTCTACTACAGTTTTTGTTGTGTTAGTATATGTTTATTTTCTAAATTATCTTCGTAAGTTCTTAGTGAGAGATTTAAATTGTCTGTTAACTCTGTTATACCTTAGTATGAAAGTAAAACACAATTAAATTAACATAAATAATAATATTCGCTGATGTTTATTGTGATTCCTAAATTACACGAATGACGAGTTGTGCCGGTGTAGCAATCGCATATGGATGGACAATCTCCACCATAAATATTTATCTAAACTGCTAATACGTAACAAACTCCATTAGTGTAGTCATATTGTTTTGCATATTGCTTAAAATTGTATTATTATTTGTAGTATGATTAAAATAATCCATTTTAACGACAGATGATTTATATTCTCTGGTCTTGTTTGAAATGGTCGACTTACTATATTGTAAATAGATTTTATAGGTATTAAAAAAAAGAATTGAAAAAAAAAGATTCGTGCTATTAATACTATTAGGTGTGGACTGTATATAGGTAATTGTTTTGTCAAATAAAACACTAAATTGAATGTAATTCTTTAAAAACTACTTCACTATTGAAGAGAATAAATCACATAGAAGCTTACTTTCTGGCCAGAACACTAAAACAATGTTGTACTTAAAACTAACATATGATAATATGACGCGACACTGGGGAGGGTCGTCGTCTCGCTAATGGGCGAAATGAGCGCGACGAGATGGCGGTCGGCGTTCCGCGAAAAGGTGAAAGACGATGGGTGAAAAAAAAAAATTAAAATAACAAACAATTATGTGTGTTCAAAATAAGGGGGCAGGGCCCATTTATGTAGACACTAAGCAAAAAAAAAAACAAGTTAGGTATTAAACAGTAACGTGACGCTCGGGTCGTACAAGATGGGCGGTGGCAGCTGGCTGCGTTCGCGTTGACGACGGGGAGCGGAGAAAGCGAACGACCGGGAAGCTTAGTAGCGGCCGGCCGCGGCCGTTTTCCCCGGTGTGGACTTTGCATTCTCCAAATGGACGGTGGGAGAGTAAGTTCACAACCGAGTGTCGCAGGGTGACAGAAGAGGTACAGCGCGGACCCAACCTGTGTGATAGGTTGAGGGGGCCGCGTCAAATAAATAATGAAAAAATACCAATAATACGTTGATATTCAATGAAGTTGCCCGTTATGATGAAGGCTAGCAGATGATTGATTGAAACACGGCCCTTGCTATGGCGCGTAACACATGAATTTGAACAACAACAACAGGTGACCAATAGCGAACCGTCGCACTCGAGTACAGACGACAACGACGATGATATCGACGATATAATAATACTTAACTAATTAATAAAACAAACTAAATATACTAATATCGAACCGAACTGCAATTAAAAATATCTTGACATATAAACAATTAATTAACCACACAATAGGTTAATGGGCATGCGACTTTCGGCGCGGTACGTACGATTACGACGGCGAGCTTCGGCGTTAGGTTACTATTTTATGAACAGAAAATACTGGTGCCAACATAAACGAACAATTACAATTGCCTGGATGACGTAAAACAAACAAAAAAATAACAATTACAATAAAACATGTGGCCTTTTTCGACGCGGAGAACAACCGGCGACATGACGACCATTGAACGACAAACGAAACACGATAGATCGAACCAAAAAAAAAAAAAATAGGCGATCGCACCAACACGGGCGATGACAAACCGGGTTAGACCAGAGGTAGGGTAGCGGTGTGGTTGTTTTCCGATTGTTCATGTCCGGCCGACCGGCTGATAACGTTTGATGCGATATCAGTCAGGCCGCAACAGGTATAATTTATTAAATAATATTAATAGAATAAGTAAAATACTGCAAATTGAAAACATTTCAATTGATTATACTGTAAACATTTTGAATTTCCTAAAACAGTTTTTAAATAAGTATCAAAAAATAGATTTAATGAAGCAAAATAAAGTGCTATACATATTTGCAAACAAATCAATAAAACACAAGAGTAAAAATCTGAAAGAAAAAGTTTACAGACACCCAAATGCACTTACCTCTAAATTAAAAACATTGTTCAATGTTATTTTTAACTGATAAACTCTCAAACTACTTAGGAGATGAGACGATTTTTACCAAAAGTTTTGCTAGATTGTATGTTGGTGCGTTTATATTCGACACTATTGGTCTATTGGATTCGATACTTTTATAAAGAATTTATTTTTTCTCCAATCACAGTTTTCTAGTTGTTTTAATAAACTGTAATAGCATCGTCAAAACATAAAATATTATAATTTATATTTGGCTAATAGGCTTACAAAAAAAAATACCTAATAGTTACTACATGATATATATTCGAGTTAAATCTTTTAGTTGCCAAAATAGCACCACTGCAGAAACACGTGCCCTTAAAATTTTACAATTGATATCCACAAAATAGATAACCGATTTTAAATAGGTATTCAACAAATGGCTCTTGCAATCAGAATGGCGAGAGGAGTCGGGAGGAACGTGAGGAACGTGCGGGCAATAAGTCAATCGTTGGTGCGATTTTCTAGCAGCAATGGCAACGGCAACGACGAAACAGAATGTCAAGGCATGAACTCTCTGCCGTGTCTGAAGCGAGACCCTACGCTGCCCAAGTTGCCTCAGAACAACGACCAACAAAAATGCAAAAAAATTTGTATGCCTTGCTGTCTGCCAGCAAAGGATCCGCCTTCGTGTGTCAAAAAATTAGGAAGGAAAAAGTGTACGCCTCCGCAGCCCCCGTATCCCAGTTATTCGCAATGCATGAAACCGCCGCAGCCCAGCATAGATTGCGAATGCCGACCGCTAAAACCTCCTCCGTGTGATGTGGACAGCAAGAAAAAAGAGAGTTCTCAGACTAAGAGGTGTTAAATAAATGTTTTATTTAAATAAATTATGTATATCGTGACGTTCATTACCGATTTTTATATTAGTTACATTAGTCTATATTACAAAATAATTTCTAGACATTAATTATGGGTCTTCCCCCAGGGGGATACTAAGTAATTAGTATTACGGGTTTGGTGAACCCGGGGCCCCGAGCTCTGGGCTGACCTTAGTTGGGTGGCCCAGACAGGTCCTCCCTCTATTGTGGGGGTTTGGCGGTGGGCTAACAACCCGCCACTGTAAAAAATATCTTGTTAAGAAACCAAAACAAAAGCCTCGGGACAGAGTTATGGATAATGAACATTGGAATCGGACTGGACAACATGGATTAAGGATTGGATCTGGTAATAATTTGCACGTACGCTCCTACAGAAACGGTAGATGAAGAAGTAAAAAATATCTTTTATGATTTACTAGAAAGTACTTACGACTCTCTACCGAATCACTGCGTTAAGATAATAATGGGAGACTTAAACGCCCAAATAGGACAGGAGGAAATATATAAACCTGTTGTAGGGAAACATAGCCTTTAACGGGTTAAAGCTAATCAATTTCGCTATAAGTAGAGGAATGAAGATCAGTAGCACACAGTTCCCCAGAAAGAATATCTATAAACATACATGGGTATCGCCAGGTGGCAGATATATTAGTCAAATAGACCATGTACTAATAAGTAATAGATACAAATCAAATATTCCAAATGTTAAAAGCTATAGAGGAGCAGACGTAGATTCGGACCATTACCTCGTGATTGGAGTCTTCAAAAGTAAAATGGCAGCAAAGTGGAATAATGAAGGAAAATTAAAAGCAGTTCGAAAATTCAACATTGAGAACCGTAAAGAAGAAGAAATACGGAAGAAATACCAGGAAACAGTAGACGAAAAATTAAAATCAAAAAATAGTACTAGTATTGAAGAATTGGAGGACAAATGGAATATGGTTAAAAATTCAATAATAGAAACCCCGGAGAGCGTAGTGCAATTCACACAAAGACCAAAAAGAAATAAATGGTTCAACGAACGTTGTAGAAAATGAATCCAGGAACGTAACAATGCTAGGATTAAAGCAATCAAGATACCCACACCTGAAAACATAAGAAAATTTGAGATTAAAAGGAAAGAAGTGACAAAACTAATAAGAAAAGAGAAAAGAATGTCAGAAAAAGCAAGGATTGAAGAGATCGAAAGATATAAATACAATCCAAGAGAATTCTTTAAGAGGTGCAAGGCAATTAAATCTGGCTTTCTCCCGCATATATTATCCCTAGTAGATGAAAACGGTGCCCTGATATCTGGTCCAGAAATGATAGCTAACGAGTTCAAAGAGTATTTCAGAGAATTACTAAATAAAGTGCCAGATAATGACAGTAATGACCAAGAAATCAGAGCTTATTATACAGTAGACCAGGGAGTACTGGCCCCTAGTCTGGATGAAACCAAAGCGGCAATACACACCCTGAAAAATAATATGGCATCAGGTGAAGACAGGATTAACTCAGAATTTTGGAAGATAGGAGGTCAAGAAGTAGAAAGGGAACTACATTCAGTAATTCTACAAATATGGGAAGAAGAAAGGTTGCCAGAGAGTTGGAATGAAACACTTATCTGCCCAATATTCAAAAAAGGAGACCGAGGAAAAGTAAAAAACTACAGGGGGATAACTCTATTAAATACAGGATACAAGGTCCTATCATTAATAATATTAAAAAGATTAGAGAGATATGCTGAAAGAGGCCGTAGGAGAATACCAAAGTGGATTCAGGAAAGGAAGATCAACCACAGACTATATATTTGTAGTGAGACAACTAATGGAAAAGCACTATGAATACGCAAAGGACCTGCATATGGTGTTCGTGGACTATAAACAGGTTTATGATAGCATAGACAGGGAAAGGCTATGAGAGGCGCTCAGGGCATTTGACATCCCTATGGAAATTATCAAAACGGTAAAACTATGCAACAGTAAAACGTATAGTAGAGTAAAATTTGGGAATGAACTGTCTATGGCTTTTGAAATCAAAAGTGGACTACGACAAGGGGATGCCATGTCACCCATACTTTTTAACATGGCATTAGAAAGTGTGGTCCGAAAAATGTCAAACAGAGAAGCCTGGTCACTTGATAGAGGACTGCTACTTGCATACGCAGATGATATTATAATCACTGGAAATACTCGAGCAGAAGTTCAAATGAATATGAAGAAATTAATGAAGGCAAGTAAAAATATAGGTCTAGTAGTAAATGCGGAGAAGATAAAATACATGGTAGTAACAAGAGGACCAGAGGATAGCTCCAACCTTAAAATAGAAAATAATGATTTCGAACAAGTTAAAGAATTTAGGTACCTTGGAGTAACTCTAAACAACAAAAATATTATGCATGAAGAAATAAATGTGAGGCTGAATGCAGCAAATCGATGTTATTTCGCAATGGAGACCCTCTTTAAATCAAAAACGCTATCGAAAAAATTCAAAGAAAAACTTTATGTAAGCTACATAAGACCAGTACTGACTTATGCATGTGCCACATGGTCCTCAACTAAAGGTGACGAAGAAAAACTAAGAAGATTTGAAAGGAAAATCCTAAGAAGAATACAAGGTCCAGTATTTAATACCGAAACACAACAATGGGAATTGAGATCGAATGCCCAGTTAGAAAACTTATACAAAAAGGAAAATATTGAGCAATTTATTAAAAGTATAAGAATGCAATGGGCCGGACATGCGTGACGAGCAGACGGATGCCTAATAAAAGATGTAATGACTTGGACGTTAGCGGGGAGGAGACCAAGGGGAAGACCACGAAGAAGATGGATAGACAGCATAAAGGAGATATGGAATGCGGTAGCCCATGGTGGGGCGGATTGGCAAGTTATAGCGATGATAGAGAGAAATGGGAGGAGATAGTTTTGGCGGTAAAGATCCTCAATGGATCGTAAAGCAGGGAAAAAAAAAAAATTATGGGTCTAATTCTTTGTTGTGTAACCCACTAAGATTTGACTTTGGAAATCGATGTATTTAATTGCGTGCTTAATTACAAGTCTAATTTATTTAGGTGCTCCTTTCTATAATTCTAGAAAATAACCTACGCCCGCAGATATTAATTGGTACGAGCATGTCTACATATATGTCAGCTGTGATATTTGCGCACATAGTGCCATCTATTGGAATAAACTTTCTCTAAGACTTTGAATTACAATTTTTCAATTTTCTGGGCAGCTTTTCGAAATTTTTCTTTCCGCTAAAACCTATTTCGGACTATTACGAACATTTAAAAAAAATTAGCTAAATCGGTCTCAAAAGCCGTTCTCGAATGGTGCTTGTTCCTAGGTTTTTGTTATGTATGGGGCAGCACTGCTTCTTATCTTGTACATATTATTGATAGTATGTTGTTATGCATTGTATGCTTCTGCTAAGTTGTTAAGTCACAATAAAAAACATGTCTGCTATTTTGTCATATTGAACGTCTTAATTTTTTATCTTCCACCATCCGCAAATACAAAACATTCGGCGACGAGTGCGTGTTTGTTTTCTGTTTATGTGTATTGTGCGAATCAGTAAAGTGTGTTATTCTACTGTCGAAATTAAATTATGGGTTCACGTGAAGCAGTCTAAGGAGCCTACAGGTACCAAAATGGTATTGGTAACCAAAACAAGTTTTGGGTCCATTAACCCGTATGACTTTAATGAAATATTTGAAAAATTCCTCGAAAGAGTTGAAGCTTTTTTCTTGGTGAATTTGCCTTCAAATAATGACAAGGTATCGTCACTTATTTTGCTTATCAGTCCGGAAATGTATGCCGTCTTAAAAAATTTAATGTTACCTGGTATTATTAAAAACAAAAAATGTGAGACAGTTATCAAAAAATTAAAACACCATTATTGTCCAAAATAGTTAATAATTTCGGAACAATACAAATGTAATTCAACGAAGCAGAAAGATGGTGAATCTGTCAGTGAATTTATCACCAATTTGCGTCGTCTATCCGCAAGTTGTCAGTTTGATACCTTTTTGGATCAAGCATTAAGAGATCGGTTAGTAGCGGGTCTAAGTGATGACGTAATGGTACATAAACTATAAGCTGAATCTAGTGCATTATCATTTGTCAGCATGCAAAATTGTTATAGATATGGGTACTGTGGGGAAAAATACAGCTGTCTTACATGAGCGTGTTGAAGCGGAAACTTTGTCTATTCGCCAAAAATTCAAGAACCAGTCAACTAAACTATAATCCCACAGGCAAAAAGATACATCGGCAAAAGTTTTTCATAAAAAGCATAATGTTAGTGAGCGAAACTTCAGTCGTGGAAATGTTTGTGGCCGGTGCGGTCGAAGTTCTCTTTCAAGTTCAGTGTCCAGCCAAGGATTAGGTTTGTTTTTTTTGTTCAAAAAAGGACATACGTCTTATGTGTAGACTAAATAAAAAGTCTATGAATAATTCAGAAATTAATCAGGTGTTTAGTAATGCACTTAAAATGTTTGTTTCTGGTAATAATAATACTTTTTTAAATTATGAGGTTGATTCTGGTGCAGCTGTCACTCTGTTACCTATTAATGTCTATAATGATAAATTGTGTGGTTTTCCACTACAGCCTTGTGAAGTAAAGTTGACCACTGCAAGTGGAAAGTCTATGAAAACCGCGGGTAAAACGTTTGTTAGTGTTAGCATTGATTTTAGAATATACAGATAAGCGGTGCTTGGGACAAAACCGGTGACCGACAATTGCTGGCTGCCGCTGCAGAGCGCTGTCGGCGGCCGCTGGCAAACAGTGTGACCATTCAAGGTGATCAATTTACCGTACGACACTTTTCCGTGTCAAATTGTTTACATAGTACAGATAAAAATTAAAATTAAAATCAACCGCGATTCCATACAAGTATAATTCTGACGGACTACCATCTACATCAACTGGCAAGACATATACGAGTATTATATTATTAGTTAAATTGACTGGATTTCTTATATTGAGCAAGGTAAAAGTTTGGCGTAATAGCCTAATGCAGTTCACTGGTAGCCTACGGTATGCATATCAATCCCCTGTCGTATGAATTCAAACTTTTTGCACTTTTTTCCACCGGTTATTTACTTTTGTCATCTGTGGGGGCGTAGCAGTTAATTATCAGTATGTTAAACCATTTACCTTTAAGCTCAACATAGCATATTCTATCATTTATCGGCTCAAATCTCACAATATTGGGCAGGATACTGTTCTTAATTACAAAACCCACTCCTCTCTCGTGTTTTACTCCTCCGCTATAGAGGATTGTCATCTCCTGTGTCTTTAAACTACCTGCTCCATCCCACCTTACTTCTTGAACAGCGGTGATATCCAATTTGTATCGTTTAAGACACGATACAATTGTCGTCATAATTCCAGACCTATACATCGAGCGCACATTCCAGGTTCCAATTAGTATATCCGTAAGCTCTTTTGTCCGAGGCATTGTTTGTTGTTGTTCCGAAATCATTGATGTTTTATGTGTGGGGTGATCAACCCCACGACAACCCCCATTAATGGAGGGTTCAAAATAACTAGGGTCCGCGGGTTCGTTAGGCCCGTTCCTCTAAAATAGAGTACCCTTGCGGGTAAGAATGTAAATAGGCACAAAAATTATTAAAGAGTTAAAATTATCTTTAAAATAGAGCCCATCTTTTTTTTTTAATATATATATTTCATTTAAATTTTTAACGTGCCTAATCCTAATTGTCATACAAAAATGGAAATTATATGAAAAGTTTTTTTAATTAAATAATATACAATGTATTAATTATTAAAAAAATAGCTTTTTATTTCATTAACATTAAAAAAATTAGAGTGGAAGACAACACTTTTAATAATAATAATGTTAATACTATTTTGAACAATTAAACTAACACAATACTGATTATTACAATACAATTAATATAGTAAATAAACACACATATACAAGCATAACGTCAAAATGAGTGAGTCCATCACATTGTTTTTGAAATGTTGTTATCTTTTGATTTCATTATAGGTGGTTTTGCTCTAAAACCACTCTGAACTGAATAAAACGCATTCTGTGTAGCTATGTTTTTGTTTTAGATGCTGTCAAGTATGCTGTGATAGTCTGAAAACCATAAAAAAAATCCTTATTACTGAACTAATAATTACATCACAGTTTAACCTTTAAAAAAAAATGTTGCAAAAAAATTTTCTACACCTAACTCCTTAATAAACAGGAAATATAGCATCGTATTAATTCCAGCTCTTATGAATTTGTAGATTTTTTGGTTAAATGGCTATAGATAATACATTTATAAATAGGTATTTTTTTTAAAATTATATACAAAGGACTCCTCTGTCTATTAATAGAAAACCCAGTCAATACCTTTGAGTTCAATTTTAATATTGAATTATTAGAAAAACTTTCCGAATAAAATTGATCTCTTCTTATTTCTATTTTAACTAATGCTTAATAGATATGCAATATGTACTATGAATGAAATTACTTAAATAATTTATAGATGCCCAGCAAGAGGAAAAGTGTACCAAGAAACACCAAATGTTATGATTTTGGTACAAAATCATAACCATGGACATAATAATGAAGTGCCTATACGACGGTTTAGAAACCAAATTAATGCAAGAGCTCAAAATGAGTTAACTCCAATGCGAGTTATTTATAATCAGGTTCTATTAAATTTATATAATTTATAATCTGACATTTAGTTATAACAACATATAAAATATAATTGATATCAATAAGTTATAGTTATAATCATTATTCTATTGACAGTTGATAAAATATAAGTTTAGCGCCAATGCAGAGCTGGGAAAGTATTGTTTTTACAATGATGTATTTTTGATTTTTGATTCCGGACCCAAAATATTTTTTAAATCCCTAAACCAATAACCAAGATTTTGCATGTAAAAAGTACATTAATGGGCCAAATATTAATATCACCTCTTTTCCTTCAAAATCGTAAAAACACCCTAAAAGTGTACACATTTTGTAACTTAAGATTAAGGCGCTTTATAACTTTTTGAAAAAAAGTCAAATGAGTTCCAAATTTGTATGGAATATTCTTTACACGTGGTCTTATCGTTTAACGTTGACAAACCAAACAAATATCCCCAACTTCACTGTTCTGTTTTTTTTTCTAAATTGTATTTTCTAAAGGATTTTAAATTTTATTAAAAAGTGTGTAACATAATACTTATGTAGACTAATAAATGAAACATACTTTATGTATTTAATTGAATATTAGATGTCCACAAATGAAACATTTGTTGATGTTAATGTGAACCGCTATGAAAGCCTTTGTAGAACAATGGCAAGATTTCGGAAAGATGGTCAACCACAAAATCCGCCATCAATGGAAGAGTTTAGTCTTCAGCTAGATGGCCCATATCGTCATAGAGCAGCTATCTTGGGAGTAAATATTTATGCTGGTACAGTAAGAGGACATGGCGAAGAAGGTTGTTCAATTATATTTATTACCCCTGAAACCAGAAGGTAAAAACCATCACTTTAGAAATTACCTGTGTATTGTATATTAAGATGTATAACAAACGTTTTAAACAAATAGCTAATATTAGTTTATTAACATATTTTACTCATGAAAATATTAAGATTGCTCAGGGAAAGTCCTGATATTTATATTGACGGAACTTTTGATGTGGCTCCATTATTTGGACAACAGTGCCAGCAGATGCTAGTCATCATGGCAAAATCTTTTGGCTATGTAAGTATAATAATTAATTATTTACTAACATACTGTAGTATTACAACTTATGCTTTAATTATGAATTATAATTATGATTATGAAGGGATTTCCAATAGTTTTTGCACTTATGTCCAGAAAGACTACAGCTGCTTATAATCAAATAATTAGCTTTTTAAAGCAATTGGAACCAGCCCGGAACCCAAACACTGTAATGAGCGATTTTGAAAGGGCGATAATTCGCTCATTTGAAGAACATTTCCCGAATTGTAGGCACAGTGGTTGTTTTTTTCATTTGGGCCAAGCTGTTTGGAAACGTGTGCAAACTGATGGTAATTATTTTAAAGAAAATAAAAATCTGATATATATATATATATATATGTGTCTATTGAATTTTTAGATAAATATTACATTTGTGATTTAACTTTGAATATTTAATTTATATAAACTTTTATGTAAACTAATTATGCATTAAGAGGCAAAACTAGTTGTTATATACATAATTCTGTATAATACTCCAGATGAGCATATAATATTTTATATATTAATAATTATTAAAAATACATTTTTAATCATTTAGATAAGTTAAAAATATTGTTATTATTACTTAGGTCTGACAGAGTTAGCCAAGACAAATCCATTCTTCTGGAAAATTGTCCACATGTTAATGGCATTGCCTTTGTTACCATCCCAAGACATTGTTGATGGATTTAACTGCATTTTCAATCATTTTAATGTACTGGTAGATTTGATTGAAATTGGTGAACCTGACTATGGCCATAAACAGGAGTTACAAATGCATCAAGAAAAAATTAGAGATTTCTTCATGTACTATAGGCGTTTTTGGATAAATGGTACCATTGCAAATAAATTATTATTGTTGTACTAATTTATAGTTGAAATATATAGTTACTTATAGATAAATATCACTGACATTCATTTATACACATACCTCTATTCATGATACTTCTTCTTTTCAGAAATTGGCCCTGTTACTCTCTCAGTACATGGGCGTACTGATAGAACAAATAATATTTTGGAAGCGAGCCACAGGAACTTGATGAGCCATTTCACGCATCCAAATCCATCACCTTGGTATTTTGTTGGTAAGAAAAGTAATAAACTTTATTTCAGTAAGATAATAATTCATAAAATTAAACGTTATATTATAGAACGTTTATTACCATATATTGGAGCCATTACTAAAGACATAAGGCGAGCAAGAGATGGAATCGAAATTCATAGGGATCAACCTGTAATATGGCAACAACAAAACAACAAAATTTTGCGAGCACAAAGACAGTTGGGTATGGGTCAACTGACAATATTTGAATTTCTTGTGCGCTGCATACATACAACTCCACAATTTGGAGTGCCAGCACCTATTCAAAGTAAGAAAGTACTATATAAAATTGTACATTACATTTTACAAAAGAATTAAAATATAACATTTAATCCTAAATTCTTCAATTATTATTTTAAATTATGTTTTCCGTATTTTTTTAACAATTTTTTTTTTTAAATAAATAAAATATAATTAATTAAGTACTAAAATAATATAAAATATCAATCATATTACCATAGTGTCAATATTCTTTGTGTATTAAAAATATTAGTATATGTGCATTTTAATTTATAAAATTAGGTATTAAAATAATAAACTGAACTATTTACAGACGATGAACACGACATCCCAGAGGTTGTGAATCACGAAAATAATGTAAGTTAATTTTACATCTAACAATTGTGCTAATGAAAAACAGTGGTACAATAAACATGATTTTAAAGGCAATTCCCTCTTGAGATTTTTAGATGCTCTCATTGGAAGTAAAGGGGTGGTGTGTTTAAAACGATAAAGTTAAAATTGTCCCCTATATTTTAAATTTACCAGGCCACTGATGAATATATACAAACTAAGTCTCACAATTAATCATAACACTTATAAGATTTGAGATTTTAGTTTTTGGGAAATATTAAAATCTGTTTTTATCTATTATTATTAATTGCTTCAAAAAACTATTTTTTTTAAGGCCGCCGATCTATAAATTGATAATCAGGACTTTGGTATGTTATCTTTAACATTATTATTTAAATAAGATGTTTAGTAGTTAATTAATTGTAATTATTTTAATTTATTATTATTGTGATAAATTCAGGATCTGATGATGATGATGATGATTTTGATATCAGTGATGTAGAACCTAACGACATTGATGATATGATCCGAGGTAAAATATAATTACTGACATTGAAATCCTTTATTGACATTAAAAATGTTTTTTTAAGACATTGACTACCAGAGCTTTTTCTTTTATTTCATAAAAAAAAAACATAATAAAATAATATTTGAGCGTAACTATCCTCACCTTCTTGTAATAGCCAATGTGTTAAAGATTTTGATTTAATACATTATAAATATTATCATTGGTACATATATGGAAGCTTAGCACCTTAATTTTCAACAACCCCCAAAAGTGTATTATTTTTATTCATTAAATATTTATACCTAGTTGTAGACGTCGTACTTATGTAGAAGTGCTGCTTAGAAGAAAATTAAAGGTTGTACTCCATAAAGCTTATTAAATTAATGATTCTTGTTTACAGATATTGATGACAACTGAAAACTATTACCGACTTATATGAAAGTACTACATTGGTGTGCCTCTGAAGTCTTGTTTATTTTATTAGCTCTTATAAATGTGTACAATCATCATAATTCAAGTGATTTTGATGGAGTTAACAAGTGTATTCTTCAATTGATCAAAAAGCATCATTCGATGATGTCTTTAACAATAAATTAAAAGATTTTACCTTAACTGGTTCAAAAACAGTATTTTTTAATGTATAAGTAATTTTTTTCTTTTTTTCTACTGTTGTAGAAACTGCATTTTGTCTTTCTGGACATAAGAGCAAAAACTATTGGAAATCCCTTCAAATTCAGAACAGGCGAAATTGCCTGTTAGGTGCTATGCACATTTTATGTGTATGGTAGCGCATATTGCATAGGGTGTGGTGTGAAGTAATTGATGATAACAACTACCCGGTTCATCCGAATTTCCTATAATAAGCCAGAAAAGGTTTATGTGGGTCCCTACCCATGAGTTCATATTTTATGTAATTTCAATAACATTTTAATACTTTTTATCATTAAATTATAGTTATTATGATTACTCACTATACAATATGAGCCTTAAATGGTAAGGCTAAAGACGTATTAGTATAATAACACGAGCTGATACGTCCATCATTAACAGTTAAATACATTGAAATTATATAATAAAATTAAAATTAGAAAGTAAGAATGATAGCACAATAGTAATTTATATTCAAAATTATTCGAATAAATAATAATATTTATTTTATTACTTATAATTTTTATCACATAACAAAAATGAAAATTATTTTATCACAATATTTAAATACAGCCTTGTGGTTAGAACCTGGTTATTGATAAGAAAAAATATACTATAAGATGGCTTGGGAACCTATGGCAGCTTGCCAAAAATTTAGTATGACAGCGATATCTATCGACGATTAGAAGAAACAAAATATTAGTCACCAAAAACTCGTATACTACCGCTAATCTGTATATTCTAAAATCAATGGTATTAGTATAAAAGATTGTTATTTTTATAATCTAACTTTAGTTTTTTTTTTAAACCATTATAAATTACATAGAATACGAAAAACCTTTAATTAGTTAACGTGATTATCTATTTCCTTTAAGCTAATAGTTTGTGTTAGAGATAGAGAGTAATTAATTAATAATTAAGAACACAAATTATATTATTAATTAACAAAGTAAAGTGATAAATAGAATGGAAAAAAAAACAAAAAGAAAAGAAAAATTTTTTAAGAATAGAAAAATTGTGAGTATGAGATATAGATAGTATTAGATATAACAAAAACATATGAGTGACTTATTGAGAAAACAACCAATGATACACAATTTTTTTAACATTACTTTTAGAATAGTGAATATTTTTTTTATATTGACACGGCATAGAGTTAAAATACACAGGCCCTAAATAATTAACAAAAGATTGACCAAAAGGTTTATAAGACAATTTGACAGGTATATTATACCGTATATTTTCTCTTTTATCTTCCAACAATTTATAATCTTTACCTTTTAAAAGTGAGGAAAATGGGAATTTTTTTATAAATAAATCTGGTTGGTAAAATACCCAGCTCCCTATAATTTTGAGTCGTAGAACCTTGCAAGGAGTACTTGTTTAAACAAATTCTTATTATATTTTTTTGGTTAACTTACAATTTATTTAGAACAGTATCGCCCAATCCCCCCCATACTAACATTCCATATTGGAATATTGATTGAAATAGGGCAAAATAAATAACCCGCATTGTTTGCTTGGGCACTAAACCCTTTAACTTTAGTATTTATAAGTTATTGATCGTAGCTTCCCAACTAGGTTTTTAATGTGAAGATTCCATCGTAAATTTTTATCAAATATGATACCTAAATATCGAGTACTAGTTACTTCTTCGATAACTGTACATTTATTTACGTTATAGTTACAACTGTCACCATTAACACATCAGCTATGTATTGTTATCGGGTTAAGATTTGGAAAACTTATAATTTGAGAACATCATAAACATGGTTTTTTCTTCATTGAGTGTTAAATTTCTGTCACATAGACATAGATAAACTTTGTTTAAACCGACAGTCATTAGTGCTTTTTAAAAATCATATGTTATATACTATAGTAAAATTTATAATTGGATAAAAAAAAATAGTGTTTCAACACTATACTATCAAAAACACATCAAATTACAATACACAAAATCACTTGCTCTTAAAATTCTACACATTTCCTATCAAATATAAAAACGATTTTAAATGAATGGCTCTTGCGTCGAGAATGACGAAGATCGGAAGAAACGTACAATTCATCGGAGTTCAATGATAAGATTCTCTAGTAAAAACGGCAATGGCGCCGATGATGGGGAATGCCTAGGTATGAATGATCTTCCGTGCTTGAAGCAAGACCTATCATTAAATAAGTTACCAGCAAACAATGACATACAGCAATGCAAAAAAAATTTGTATGCCATGTTGTCTGCCGGCAAAGGATCCACCGTCTATATTCACAGTACTATATTTGTAGTGCTAGACTAGTAAATGTGTTCTAAAAATTAACATTAAAATCTCATAAAGTATCAACTAATTAAAAAATATAGTATGCTACCTATGACTTCATTAGTAATTTGTTCATCTGCATTTGAAATCAATATAAAAAATGACTGTATTATTTAAATCAATAAAATATATTTTTTTTTCAGTGTTGTTAACTAAATGTGTAATGCTAGTGGGTTCTATTAAAAAAGTACAGTTTAACATTAAAATCTCAGGCAGGGAAGACAGCGGACAAACACGACAATGTTATAAGAAATATAAAAAAGTTAAGTAACGCAAAATAACTTTATTAGTACTCGTGTATCCGTTCAAATCCGCCATTACCTGAACTAACTATAGAGAAAACAAGGTCTGCTTATTACATTTATTTTATTTGTTTTAAATTATTAAATTTGCGTGAAACAGAAGAAAAGGTGTATGAAAACTTTATTATAAGTAGTTGGTTTATTCTTCATGTTGAGAGTTTTCACGTTCGTTTGCGGCAACAATAATCGCAGCCGCAGCCATATCCTCTTCCCATTTTTGTCGTTCTCGCAGTTCTTCTTCTTCTTTGAGCTTTGCCTTAATTTCTTCAATTTCCAAATACTTGTACTTACTATTATAGAACGGCACGTACTGTAATACAGTACGCCATTCTGTGAAGTAACACATCATTACAAATCCTGTTGTGCCGTATGCTAATCCCGAGGGACCCCTTTAAAAACGAAAAACAATTCCAATTTAATAATGTTCCTTAAATACGAAATGCTTTAAAAATATATATTTTTTTTTTTGCTATATCCAAGCATTAAGTATTTAATTATATCTATAATTCCAATATTTCATAATCTAAACTATTTAGCAATTCGGCAGACAAACTTCTTAAATATATAGCTACCAATAGTAGGTATATCATTATTTGCAATTTAAATTTTGAATAAAATAAAATTGTATATTTTTACCAAGTCTGTAGTGCAATCTTAGGTTTGTGCCATATGGGTACATTACACTTCGACATGGGAGTTAGCCGTGAAGGTTTAAACATTTTCATTACTTTCGAAATCATGTTTTTAACTATCAAAAACTAAGGATTTAATATGTGCAATATTGAATGACAAAATATTTTTTTTTTAATAATAAACATAATAAATATAACATAAGCTGTGTATAAACAGTTTTGGTTTTAGCCAATCTCTTATACTTTATAAATATAGACAATAATATAGTTTTATGTAAATCATGTTTATACGTAATATAACCTAATAAAATTATATATATAAAAGCCAACCAAGTGGTGTCAAAGACTGACCTAGTTGGGAAATTTATTTTTTGGCAGTCGGCAGTCTGGTAAAATCACCAGACTTAAAGCTTTCTAAACGTCCGAGTTTGAACCGTATGCCTGACCTTCCTATCGGGAATAAAATAAAATAAAACTTGAATATTTAAAATTGAACTAAGATAAATTCTATGCCATTATTAAAACGGCAATGACAAAATCTATGTAAATCTGATTTTAAAATCTCTACAATGAGTTATAAATGGTTTTAAAAATTTTAGCATCACCAGCTAAGAAATAAGTTATTTTAATGTTTTATTGTTAAAGATATATCTTTGATGAATAATAAAATAGTAGCTAAGGTAGTTGATCCCTTAGAGGACGCTTGGTAAATCCTGAATAGATTCAGAAAGAAAATGTTCTTTTTGGCATGCAAATTTATTTTCTATTATTAATAGTTGGCTCTTATACTGTGCCCAGTAACATGTTCTAGTTGTTGAATGATGTTATTATGTTTAAATTGTACATCTGGCAATATCCTTAATTTGTATTCTATTGTTTTACTTTGTACTGTAGTTTGGAATGTGTATAATATTTCTTTGTACTTACTGGTTCGCTGTTTTTTGCACCTTGTCTGCTAATTTACTTGAGGACGAACAAAACAACATATGCGTGTCAGAAGGCTGTGTCAATTCTGCAGCGTTCGTATTGGCTAACATCGACAAGTCGGTAAATCCTTGCGACGATTTTTACAAGTTCGCTTGTGGGAAATTCACAACTGGTGCAACAGTAAACGACGATAAGACGTCTCGAACAACTTACGACGCGGTTAATGATGTACTCGTGGATGACTTGCGCAGAATTCTAGACCAGCCGATCAAAACTAATGAGCCGAAGCACTCAGTGAGAGCAAAAAAGTTGTTTGCCATGTGTATGGACGAGAAGAAACTTGAAGAACGAGAAACGGAAGCTTTGCGTGAGATGCTTGAAAAGATCGGTGGGTGGCCGGTGTTATGTGGTGACCGCTGGGACGAGTCTAGTTTTCGATGGACCGATACAGTGTACAAGTTTCGAGATCTCGGCCTCAGTGTTGACTTCATGATCGACCTGTCCGTTAAGGTAAATCATAAAAACACAGCTGCACACATCATCGAAATCGATCGAGCCGTGTTGGCGTTAAATCCGTTATATCTGAAACGTGGACTTGGGGACAAAATGGTCAGCTCCTATTTCAACTACATGGTAGAAGTGGCCGTAGAGTTGGGAGCTGAACGGTCACACGCTGTAACTGAACTCAGGCGGGCGCTTGAACTAGAAATACAGCTTGCCAGAATATCACAGGTGCACTTTTCAGACATAAGTAGTTTCAACTCGGAAATCCCAATGTGCGAGTTGGCTCGCAACTATCCAGTGGTGCCTTGGAGTGAGTACGTCAACCGAATAGTTTGTGGACCGGGAAAGTTGTGCGTCCATGACAGCCATGAAATTATGTTGAATATGCCACATTACTTGACAAGCCTCGATATTATCCTGAAATTTACTCCCAAACGGGTGCAAGCTAATTATCTAGTTTGGCGAGCCATTGCATCGACCGTGGCGTTTACCAATCGACGTCTTAGGGACCGCCAACAACTTTTGCATGAAGAGTGGTACGGACGTCCTGCCCGTGAACCAAGGTGGACTGAATGTGTTGACATAGTTTCTTCAGCAATGCACTTGGCTCTGGGCTCTATGTACGTGATACATAATTTCGATAAACAAGCCAAGAATGCCGCTTTCGATATGGCGGTGCGCATCCATAAAGAAATGTATCAGACACTTTTGAAATCAGGTACCTATTGAGTTACCAACTAATACTAAGTACAAAAAAATAACAAGAGCATAGTAAAAATTGCGGTGAGGTATAGATGCAAAGAATCGCAGAGCCTTTTCTATCAGTGAGTTGTGACAATAAAA